ATAATAAATGAATAGAAAATCAAAAGAAGTAAAAGTCGGAACGTAATGTAATGTTCATTACGATACGTTACCGTGATAAGTTATACATGCTTAACTTAACAGTAAAATAATTACAGTCATACATGCTATTTCTGTTTCCAAGATTGCGACATTTCTCTCAGATATGTTTAAATATAAAAACGTGCAGTCGATAATTGTAGCATTTCAAAGCCAGCAAAATACTTCTGGATAGTCATAAATTATGAAATATTTATTTATTCCGGGTATTTCTGAGCTTCAAAACATATGTAAACTAAAGTAAATCCACTAATTACCTTAACAAAAAGTAAAACAGGAAAAAGAAGGCAACATTTACATGTTAACTTTTACTGAGGAACTCCTAAGTAAATTTGTGTATTTTCATATTTATTCTTAAATAAACAGCTGTGCTATCAAAGAAGCATTTTATACTTTAATTTATTACAGTTTTTCATTCCTTGAATACTATTTAAAATATATGTGAGTGTATGTTATTCATACAAATTTTCAACCATTGCAACCGTTTCCGAGTTTTTATGAATTATGTGTAAGCTGCGCCATCTATTGATACTTTTGCAAAACATTAATCTGTTCAAAGGCATGTTGACTTTTTAAAATTCGGTAACCGAACATAATGTTATAAACCCACTCATACAGAAATCATATGCATGCTTCGTTTTGATTCTTTATTATTTTCCTATTATTACTTTGTTCCAACCTGATTATATACTTTTTTTCCATTCTTGAAAGGGCTGTTAGTCTGGAAACACGATTCTGCATTGTTTTCATTCGAGTTACCATTCCGCAAAATATAAGATAGTTATTTTTCTGGTATAATCTATTTTTTCTAACAAACTAAGATATTTAAGAGCAATGATTACAGTTCTTAAGAATATTATTATTATTATTCTACTTTTTAATTTGAGTGATTTAAATGAAAATGCATTTAATTCATGATAGATATAACTAAAAAAATTAAATTTTATGAAATTACTCAACATATTGTTGCGTGCTTACGTATTCGTAATAGATTGAATGCACAAGTCCGATAAAAAGTTAATAAAATGTATTCTTATCACCAGAAATTTAATAAAACGCTGAAATTTTCCTCAGAGGTATTCTGACAAGTGTTCACAATATCAGGCACTAATAAACAGTAGAACGCAAATACGTTTAATAGAACGCAATACCACCAGTAGCTTTGCTTTAAACCACTAAAAAACGTTAAAATACAACGCGGTTCAAAGAGAAAGATAAACAGGTAATGTTCATCGGAATACACTAATACGAAGTTAATCTAAAACTCAATGCTAATATTTTTATTTAATTATTCTCCCTAATATTTTTCCTCTCAAATTAATTTTACTTCAGGCAGTATGTGCTTACATTCCATTGTTCACAACAATTGTGATCCACATGGAAGATTTGCCATTCGTTGTGGGGTACTACTTTTATTCAGTTCTTGAGTGGCGTGAGTAACTGATGAAGAAACCTAGCCAAACCAAAAGTTGTACAAAGAATCCACTGCTTGATCACTGCAAATTTCAGGCAATAATGCGAAATTTGTTCCCGTAAACGTTTATTTTTAAAGTTAGATCTTTTATTTTCTAAAGTATTCTTTGCCTACAGACTCCCTTTCAAACTTCATTTGAGATTTATTTTCTGTACACAAGTTAGGTAACCCAATGAAAAGTTGTACTATCTAACCTTTAGGCTGACAATAATTTATCATAAGCCTTCTTCTGAGTTAATTTAGAAATTCAAGACGAGACGTCAAATCATTTGACTAAAAGGCAGTCAAATTCAAGTCATTTGACTGCCTTTTTGGATTCAACAGTTACAATATGGTGGATCCGTATACTTATTTGGCAAGTGCTTAGGAACTAAACTATTGTGCAGACGTCTGCTGTGCTACAAAAGGCCTCCACATCGAACATCTGTGCATGTCCATAGAAATATGAAGAGTTGCGCTTTCATGTTATATCTGCATTAACCCGGCATACTAGATTTATTAACAATAGGTTATGCATGTTCAGAATTATCGTAATGATTCAAGGGGTGGTTTCGAGAATTTTCAATGATGCCCACGAACTCCGTTATCTATGCCCGAAATAATCAGGACAATTCGAGAGATAGTTTCGAGAATTTTCAATGATGCGCAGTATACTGATTACTAAAAAATTCTGGCAGATTCCGTTGGATGCCACGCTAAAATACTGTATCAGTCAGCGCCGTCATGAGAGATACTGTTTATTCAAATACCACTGAAATTGCAATCATATTCTTTTTTTGGGTGAATTCTTCTATACTGGGCATCAGTAAAAATGGTTATTCCAAAGTTTTTGGAAAATTGTTTAACGATTTCTTAGGTTAAGATCCAAAAATTCGAATGATCTTATTATGTTGGTCCTTATGTTGTGTTGAGGAAGAAAATTACTTTTTACTAGACTAAATAAGTTAATAGCTTATTTTTAAATAAATATTCTTTCTCGAATAACAGTTTCTCTGCAGTGCGCGTTGATGTGTATCATTTAACTTATCCTTTCTAAAAGACTGCTCATGAGTTAAAAAAAAAACACTAAATTTTCTTTTAAATAATGATTTGTAAGTCATTCAAATAACATTTTTTATGTAATTGTAGACCAATGAATATACTTTCGATTCATTTTACTTCTACTAAAATAAAGTAACAACAAATATAAACGGAGAGGTATGAAGGAAATCAAAAGAAAATATTTGGTTTCTCTACCTGTAGAAAAAACGCTCAGTTGTCCAGAACAGGTGTTACAATTTTTTATTTTCTTGGGGTTTAACTTTTCTAAACACAAAACAGTAGATATAAGAAGTATTTATTTCATATTTATAATGCAATCATGCTAATCTCATATTCATTAATTTACTTCAAAAGTTTCTTTATATTTAAAACCTGTCTCATTATTTTTGAAACGATATTTGGACTTATATGCGCAGGCTCTCCATTCATAAAATCTATAATGCGGCTCCCATCTTCTTGAAGTTTGGTCGTCCCTGGAATACTACAAGTCGCAAAAGCAACAGAACCAGATGAAAAACCAGAATTCGTTAATATTTGAAAGCATTAGATTAAATCATTAAGATAAATGTTTAATGCACTTATTCTTAACTTTGGAATTTAGGCAGAATAGTAAAGCAAGATTCTAGTTCATTTTTAATACTGTAAAAGCTGAAGTAGAATAGTCTTTCAGTGATAGTTAAAGGAAGTGATAGAAATGCTTCAAGTTCTTCAAGTCTGAATGGGCTAATTTTATATTCCTACGATAACATCTGCATCGCGTTTCATTTTGCAAAGGGGAGAAAGAAAAAAAGGAGAGAAAAATGAATTTAACATTGCCCCGGTTTTGCAAAAATGAATTTCCCCGGTTTTGAAAATGAAATTTGAACTCATTGAAATCATTATATACTTTTTCTTTTAATGCTAACTATTTTAGGCAGCTAACCGCGCGAGCGTCTAGCTTTTAGAGAAATAATACAGCGAATGTGAAGATATGTATGGCAACATATAATACTGTATCAGGAATTCTAAAGGTATCCTGCTTTTAAATATTTTGCGATTTTGCTGTTGAATTGAATTTTATATAAGTTAAATAAAGTTAACACACAAAGAGTTAAGAATAAAAAAAAAAAGCTTTCTAAGACATCTTACTAAGAAAACTCAATATTGGTATGATGAACTGAGATGACTAGAAAAAAAATAGAAAAATATATGCCAAACTTAACACTGCGTATAGAATTCCAACATATACTGCATTTAAAAATGTAGTGATTTTGCTGTTGAATTTTAATTGGCATAAGTAGGAGGTTAGTAGGAGAGAGTGGAAGAGCAGACTGAGAGCTGAGCGGGAGCGTAAAAAACCTTAGCAAACGCTTTTGGGCGACCGTTAAAATCTGAAATCTTTCGGATTTTTGAAAAGCTTAAAAACAGCATAACGTTTTTATAACTTCAAGTGTTTTTCTACGACCAACGTATGCAAAAATGTAGGCTTCCTAAGGACTTTTATAGGCATGTTATATACTTCTTCTTATTTATTATGAGTGATCAATTTTATAGATGCTGTCTTAGTTGCATCATCTTCGATTTCGTAGGGTCACAAAAGTTTTCGTACACTTAACGAGTTTCAGTGAAATATTGCTATATTCATTAATAAAAATTAATATTTGAGAATGAGAATTTCTGAATAATACCTATAAATTTCTCTTAGGAAAACTGAATTAATTACTTTATCAACACATAAAAATTTTTTTTTGAAAAATCAATGATCAGAAAGTAACAGGAAAGTTAGCTTACAAAAGTTTTCGTACACTTAAAAGAAATCTGCACATATTAGTTGTAGCGACATTAGGCTATTTTTAAGCAGAAGACATGAAAAATGAGCAATGCCCTCGCCGGTACTTGAACCTGGACTCTCGAATACGCTCCGAATGTGCTACCGTTACACCACGACGGCATGCTGGAAAGAAGGAGAAAATGCCTTATACACCCGTCTTTTAAAAGGCGAATGGGGATTAGGAGAATCGCCAAATCCTGGTGGTGAAGAATCATCATCTACCACCTTTTAGTTTGAGCGCCATTGTAGCGACATTAGGTGTTTTTGGAAGTAGGCAAGATGAAAAAGGAGCAAAGCCTTCGCCGGGAATCGAACCGCGGACTTCTGGAATACGCACTCAGCGTGCAGACTACCACACCACGAAGGCATGCCAAGAAGGCGGGAGAAACGCCTTATATGCTTGCTGAAATTTATCTCTTAGAGAAATTAGCGATGTTGTTAAGCCTAAATAGCATCAGTGTTCTACATGAAAGTTCATCAGCAGACGGGACAAGCACGCTTTGCTACCAACTCAACTAATATATATTCTCAAAGAATTATCTACTTCTAATAGAAAGCACATTATAGCAATACATAAAAAAAACTTTATTAAATAAGATTAATCATAATAAGCCTTACCACATTCTCCAAAACCATAATAATCTCTCTAGATGGCATAAAGTTTCTGACTCATTCTTTTACAGTCTAAGAAAATATTAATGTTGCCAAAATATTAAACCTTAAAATTACATTTTATAAACAAATACTATCATTATAGATAAAATACGCTATTCTCTTAGCATAAAAATTCGTTTCCTTTAAACTTGCTGGTTTCTTTTATGCGCGGTTATTTATAATCATTTCTTTATTTACATATTAACTGAGAGAAATCTACTACTGCTTCTAAGATAACAGTATAATAACAGCTACTTAAAGTTAGGGGGGAAACATCTGATCTTGGCATAGTTTTAAATATATAAGGTAATTCTATTTTTCCTGCTGCTAAAAAACTTAAGTTTGGTTGCCCTTGAAATCGATAGCTTTATTCAAAATTTCTGCTAATCTAAGGCTTTGCTTGAGTATAAATCTTACATTAGTATGCTTTCTTCCGATTCACTATAATAGCAGATATTTTTTAAATAATTTTAAACTTATATTCACATCTATATTACATTTAAATAAATACAATATGTAAAATTGTTGTCTTAATTTTGACAAAACTGCTTTACTCACAGTACCTAAAAGAAATCATTTAATTTTTCAAAAGTGGGGGCTAAGGAATGGGGGCTATTCTTTTAATGCCAATTACTGTGATACTTTATAATTTATCTAGAATGCTCAGCTAGCACAAAATCGAATCAATAATTAGTTACAAAAAATGTAATAAGAATAACTTTAATAAATGCTTAACAAAACAAATTCTCATTTGAAATAAACTTTATGCTATTAACTCCTAAAATGTCATGCAGAAATATTTGAAATCAAAATATATTGCATTTAAATGCAAATGATATTACTTATATTATAATGATATAACTTGTATAGCCGCAATGCAACTGCAAGCTGTTTAAATATTATTTATTAGTTGACACATTCGATGCAGTCCACTTTTTTTGCCTTTTCAGTTGTTTTTCATGTGGATATATCCATTTCTGTTTAAGAAACGTATCCTAATAAAAGTTCGCACTCTTTAAACGAATTGCATCTCTATTTACATCAGGATAATGTTTCTTTATTTTAGTAATTAAACAGCCAATTACATCCTTCTCTTTACAGTACGTTGTACTAAGAACTGCACAAAATATTTTTTCGAACTGGTACATTGTTTCATCCATGAATGGGATGGTACAGTTAAGTTTCCTGAGGACAATAATTTAATCCATTATGAATGAAATATTGTTTCATCAGCCCTATTTTTATATATTGTTCCCGTGCTATATCTTTGTCACGAACACGGTAGACAATACAACCTGCAACATTTTGTTGCGTTTTTCTTCTGACACCAGTTGCTACGTTATTTTCTACCTTCACGTTCGTACGCGGTTCGTGAGGATTTGGAGTGAATAACGACGACACTTGATGAAGTACAGAAACGCACTTTATTGGCCAGTATTGTCAGGACAGCTCCAAACACGCTTTTACAGTCATCGATGAACTACTATAAACATAATTAAGACACAATAACACACCGAATAAATACTAATTCAGAAGTCAAACAACAAAAATCAGCGTTATATTTTCAAAATTTTCACAGGACTAGTTTCGATGGTTTAACCGAACCACCATCTTCAGCTGCAAAATCGCAAATGATCATTTGCGGTTCGTCAAAACTGATAACACATATTTTTTCCACGGAATTCAAATATTTGCATCTTTCTTTTATTAGAGTAGGAACATCACTTTGAATTCCTGAACTATACGACAGTTTTGCGTACCATCTTTTTAATTTGCTTGCACTAAAGGCCCGTCTACACGAAGACTCAGGTATTAGAAACACTTGTCAACAGGCGCCCGGGTTATAAAACCACATCCTGTGTAGAACTCGTACGAAAAAGGCATATATTTTCTAACCTAACGTGATGAAGCTTCGTAATTGAGATAAAAAATCTCGTGAAAGTGCAATCAATCAGTGACAATTAGAGTCTTCAGATATAGCAGGCGTTGATATAGTTCTCTTATAGATATCCGGTGGTGTAAATGCAAGTGTTATCGATACCCTAGACATGCAGTAAGGCATATCTGTTGCTGCATGCTAGCGTCAGAATGGCGAGAGCTCGTCTGAGCTGAAGGCGTTGTCTCTGGAAGTACTTGAGTGAAGAGGGCGGAGCTACTGGCCGTCTTGGCCAATGGTGAATGTGAAAAGGAAGTGCATCCACTTACAAGACAGGCATTGGTCGGGGGAGGGGTTGAAAGGAATAACATATTGAACAATATTATTGAATGGCGTGGAGTCTATTTTGAAGTAAAAAAGATCATGGAAGTTAATAAGAGTTACTTCTATTGAATTAAATTAAGATAAAGATTAAGCTGGATGAGATACAAAATAACTGGGTTAATTTAATGATAACATATTGGCAAAAACTTATGTGACAGAGCTTTCTACCAGATGGCGACATATATTTTCAGAGTCTAATAGTAGTTATGAAATTAAACCCTAGATGGCGACACCTATTTCGCGACATAAAGCAGAGTATAACTAAATGAGAATAAATCATTATTAGATAATCAAATGAGATTTTAAGGTAAATTATCAAGGGGAATAGAGAAAACAATGCCAGTTTAAGTATTTAAATGTATAAGGACCGCTTTTCGGTGGTTTTCTGTTGTCTCTATCCTGGTAATTATAGTCCAGCTGTGGGATAGAGCTGTTATTCACTTTATGAATATTCTTGAAAAATTTTCTTGCAATTTTTGCAAAGCAGACGTTGATTTTTCCTACATTGAGTTCACGATGAATTGCATCGTTCCTAATGAACCAGGGGCAATTTGCCATCTGTCTCAAAGTCATATTTTGCACTTGTTGAATTTTTTTCATAGTTGTGTCACAAAGGAAACCCCAGACTGGACAGACATAAGTGATGATGGGACGCAAAATGGATTGGAATACAAGAACTTTATTTTGAATAGACAAACTCGAGTTTCGGGCAATTAGGGGGTTGAGTAAAGCTTTAACACACCGAAACTTGTTTAAAGTATACAGTGGATGGACAAAAATATGGAAACACCTTGTGAAATGCATGTTTCAAAAGAAAGATTGATTTTAATGAAATATGTAGGTGGCGCTGGCGTTTTTGACTATTGACGCCACCTATACAACTTCGTAAATGTGCTAAACAGTTCAGTGTTGTCGGAGTACTGTTATGTGAGGTTGTCATTGCATTATGTCAGAGTTAACAGACTTCGAACGTGGACAAATTGTTGGAGCACGTATGGTAGGTGCTTTCGTAAGCAAGGTAGCTGAGGTGTTTAATGTTTCAAGAGGTACTATATCGAAGATTTATTCCGCATATTTGAAAAGCGGGAAAACATCATCTGCTAAATCACAGCGCGGACGAAAGTGTGTCCTGAGTGATCGTGACAGACGATCATTAAGGGCAATTGTGACGAAAAATAAGAGGACCACAGCTGCAAAAGTTACTGCTGAAATGAATGTTGTGTTACCGAACCCTGTGAGTACCAAAACAATTAGAAGGGAGCTTCATAAACAGGGAATTGCTGGCCGTGCTGCAATTGAGAAGCCACTCATCAGTGATGCTAATGCCCGTAACAGGAAAAGGTGGTGTTTAAGTCATAAAGCCTGGACTATAGAGCAGTGGAAGCGAGTAATATGGTCTGACGAGTCTTCTTTCACATTGTTTACCACTTCTGGCCGAGTTTACGTTAGAGAACGCCATCTCAAGCCTATAATACAGACTGCTTGTTGCCAAGAGTGAAACACGGCAGGGGTTCTGTTATGGTTTGGGCTGCCGTATCGTGTTCTCTGCTAGCCCCATGATAACTGTGTCAGGACACATGACTGCCAAGACTTATGTGAACATTTTGGCCGATCAAGTTCATCCCATGGTACAAACTTTGTTCCCCGATGGTGGTGGTGTATTCCAAGACGACAAAGCCCCTGTTCACACAGCTCACATTGTCCAGGGCTGTTTTTTTAGCACGAGGATGAGTTGTCCCATCTCCCCTGGCCACCACAGTCACCAGACCTGAATATTATCGAACCTTTGTGGTCTAAATTGGAACGGAAAGTGCTTTCTCGTTATCCACCGCCAACATCGTTATTTGAACTTGCCACCGTTTTGCAGGGAAGAATGGTATAATATTTCCTTGGCAAACATACAGGAACTGTATTTATCCATTCCGAGAAGACTGCAAGCTGCTTTGGATGCCAACGGGTTTCCTACACCATATTAAGCAAAGAAACATGCTTTTTTAAAGGTGTTTCCATATTTTTGTCCAACCCCTGTATGTAACGTGTGGGGCCTGTAAGCACGACTGTAAATTGTTTATTGTTATTAGACAAAATATATATTGAGAAAATGGCAACAGCTAATTCCTGGATGCCATTCTATTTATAATTTTAAAAATAGACATTCAGATGATGTACGCTTGAAATGTTTAATTGGTACGATGCAGTAAGTACGTTTGTTATGTTATGTACGTTTACGAATACGTTAATTACGAATAATAGGTTATTAAGATTTATCTTTAAATAAATGTTTGTTTTTCTTTTACAATCATTTTACGAGTGATTAATTTAACTACAAAAGGAAGTTAACATAAATCAGAAGTGGGATTATTCTGAAACCTAAGCCTAGAGCTACAAGAATTTGCTATACGTAAATAAATTGAAAAGAATTTGAATTTCAAGGTATGTGCATTGATTGATGTAACATATTTATTATAGAATTTAATTTTGTTATTTTTTTATCATTTTGGAAAGAGAGTTTATTTTTTTTTTTTTTCATTTCTTTAAATTTTGAAATATATTTAGAACGTCAAACAAACTTATAAAATACCAATAACTGTGTTCTACTAAGTTGTCTAATTGGAAGTTAATAATAATAGCATATATATATAATTTGCATTTTAATGAGTACGAAAATGTCTATTTTCGGTAAGGCAAAGAAATGCGATTTAAGAATATTAGCTGAAGAATTGGGAGAAGATGTAAATGAGAGTCTT